CAATGTCTTCTGTGGCGAAGACGGCACCAAAAGCGCCGTCTACTCCACAGAGGCGCCGGTGTCCGGTTGTTGAACAGATGAAGGCTGACGAGACCCCGCAACCTCTTAGTTGACAAAGCCGCACTACTGAATGAGGTGGCGTCATCAGAGAGGCCAACGCTGGGCACAGATTTGACACGATGGTCGCGTCAACGTTTGGCTCAAACTTGACTCGAAGCCGAGCGCTGACGCAGCACTCGTTTCCAATCTGTGTCCAGCGTTGACCTTCTCTGGTGACGCAATCTCATTCAGCACTAGCGCCTTGTTATCTAGGAGGTGTTGCGCGGCACCTCCTCCTCTCTTGCCCCGGGCCAGCTTTGCGCGTGACTGCTAAAGATGAAAGGACTCGTTTCGACAACAACCCGACGGTGTCTGTCAGTTTGTCAGCTCCGGGGAAAGGGGGAAAGTTTGACGCATGTTGACATCAGTGCTTCGGACCAATGGGAGCGCCGTACGCGTCACCCTCTCCCCCTCCTTCTCCCTCTCTCCCCGGCGCCGACAATCGAGAGACACCGCCGGGGTTTCGTCAAAACGAACGTTCTAATGCCAACGAATAAAAAAAATGACCGCATCTCCACGTGGGGAATGATGTTGATTGGGGCGAAGCTCTGGTGGTGCTTGTCGTCTGCGTAGACGCTGAGCCACGGCATGCCGAGCCTTTCGTTCGTTTTCATCCATATCAGAAAGAGAATGTGTGGTATGAAACGTGGGTATATAGGCATTTGTGCATTTGACCGCAGCGCCCTCTCGTCTATAAACGTTGAGCCAATGCATGCAAAGTTTAACGCGATTATATAAGCATTTGACCGCAGCGCCCTCTCCTGTATAGACGTTGAGCGGCTACATGCAACGTTTCATTCATGACATCCCCAGCTCTTGAGTTACTACTACATCTCAGAGCCCCCTACTCGTCCCGCAGTCGTGGCCGAGTGGTAAAGGCAATGGACTAGAAATCCGTTGGGGTTTCTCCGCACAGGTTCAAATCCTGTCGACTGCGCAAATGTTTTTTTTTTCGTCATTTTTTTTTTGCCCTACACGAGCACGTGAGCACGTGAGCACGTGAGCTCACGAGCACGAGCACCAGAAAGATCGATGTGAGCACGGACGCCGGATGGACAAGGCTAGACCCTAAGGAGCTTCGCCCCTAAAAAGTGCTTGCTCACGCAATTCTTACGAAAGCTCGGGTCTTTGCTGGGTTTCAGAAAGATCTACGCACGGGCCCACGGCAACCGGTCAGCGGTTGGGCAACCACTGACCAATACTTCCTCCAGCACGAGCTCGGTCAATATAGGGACGTTCATTGGCATATAGTCGTTCGCATTTCCACCGTGTTTTATATCAGTCACATCGATTCAAGTTACACGCCGTGGTTCGTGAGACAGACATGATAAAAGCGGACTCTCGAAGCCCGCGGCGCAACTATTGACTTGAAAGAGACCCGATTTACGACCAACTGTTTGCTCGGCGAAGTCGCAAGATCTATATTAAACTCTCGGCTCTTTACACAGGAAACAGCCCGCGCATTCTTCTTTTTTATAGCCTTTTCGTGGTTCGTTATTTCTTATGACGGATCTTGGAGCTCGCTACGAACTATCTAAGGCCATCCAATGACGCGTGAGGGTAACGTGACCTCCGGGAGATGCTCTGGGACGCGCGGGGGGGGGGGGGGGGGGGGCATGGTCACGTGACCCGTTCGCAGTGTTGGATTGGCTGGAAAGGCGCGTAGCGTCTGCAGTGGTTCATTCTATAAGGCGAAACGGCGTACAGCCAAAGTATTTACTAGGAGAATGGTAAACGTAACGTCAATTTTACCACTTTGTCGCGGCGGAAAGACAGAAAAAGGTGGTACATATGGAATGTTTCGTCTGGTGTCTGGGAGAAAGTTTCCAACGACTGCATTAAACATGAGCTCTCTTTTATAAAAGAAAATGATCTTTTTAGTGCTTTTTTTTGTATACTCCTTTGGGGAAACAGCAAGGGTTGCACTCTGGAGCATCCTTAAATATACGCCAGAAAATGAAAAAAGAAAAGAAAGATATTTAACAAAAGGCTGCCGCTTCCAACGGAAAGGCGATTGGGCCTAAAAGCCCGTTCGCACGTGAGAAACGTGAGATAGGCTTCGGCGCAGGAGAAGACCCGGGTTTCAAAGGCTGCTAAAAAATGTTGTTTTCTTTTTTCTTGCTTGTCATTTTACTGCTTTCATTGTTTCTTTGTGCTTCTTCGAAACATTTCAACGTTCTCCAAAAAAAGGAAGGTCCACCCTTTTGTGATAGGACCAAAACTCGTACTTCCAAAGCGCGTTTCTGCGCTTTATATATATAATACTTTGTCGTTCATGTTTTATTGACAACGAATGCCCCGCGCAAAGTTCGTTTCTTTATGGAAAAAGAGAGAAAGGAAAAAAATTTCCTGCTCCCGAAAATCGGCGTTGTCTCGTTTGATCTAGGAGTAAAATCTTGTTTGTTTCTTTTTCGATCAATTTCACCGCGTTTTACAGTTAACGACTCCATTGTTGTTTTTGTCTTTTTCAAAAAGAAGTTTGTATTTATTTTAAAATTTTTCTTGATGAGTTGACGGGCAACAGTTTGTGTTCGGGAGCGCTTGGGTCAGCAAATATATATGAAACTCAAGTTCAACTGCACCGATTTCGAGCCGCTGTTCTTGAAGTTAGCGGGTGGAATTCTTTGTATGTCTTCGTTTTTTCTTGTTTTTTTTTTTATTATTATTTTTTTATTTTTTTTAGGGGGGGGGGGGGGGGGGGGGTTCGAATCACGTCCGCGTGGAACAAACGGGTCTTTTTTTTTTTCAAAATTCAGAATTGAACTCAAAACGAAAAGTTTTCAGCTTACACGATCGCGCTCGCGTGCCGTGATCGCGAGCGTCCACCACTCTCTCGGTGATCACGTAGAGATCTTCTTAAACAAGGCGTACTTCACTGTTTGCAAAAGTTCGTCTCACCCGTCTTTCTTCCAAACAGTGTTTGAGGCGGCCTCCGCTTGACGTGTGTACGAGATCTTCAAAGCAGCCTTTAAAAATAAAGTGAAAATTAGACATGCGACGCTGCGTTTTCGACCAACCTTGAAATATATGTATATCAACGCACCGATTCTGGAATTCTTAATGGCCGATTGGCAGTTGGAAACGACAGCAGAAAGACTCCCCCCCCCCCCCCCCCCCCCCCCTCCTTTTCTCCCCTCCCCCGATAACCGCAGGACAAGTAAGTTTGGAGGACTCTCAACTAAAACCCCCAAATCGTCGCATAAAACACGTTTTTTTTTGTTGTTTTTTAGAAGATGATACAGCTGAGGGGGTAAACTGAACCATATAATTAAGTCGGGATTCGTACACGAGGTCGGTGGCGTCGGCTCGGAGCAGGTGCAGCTATACCTCGCCCTACAGAACCCAGGGATCCTGGGCTCAATCCCAGCCCCTGGCCATTTCGATTAGGATGAGCATCGTACGCCCCGGGATGTGGTCGTGTCTTAATATAGCGGGCGGACTGCACTGGCTAAATTGCTCGTCTGCAGCGCGCAAGAGTGTTGTCATATTCTGGCAGAGAAAGGCCACACTGTCTAAACATCTAACGTCTAGTCTGATAGTGGCTTTTTAGGTAATGATGTTGAATGTTAGCACCTGTATTCGTTTTAACCTAAACAGTCGCGGTAAAAGACAACAACAGCCGACTCCTCGGTGATTGTTATTAACTTCCCCCTCTGCGGGGTGAACTAAAATGCTTGAATGTGCGTTTAAGATTAGATGTTCGTTATTTTAACGAAACGTATGTGTGTCAAAAGCGAAATAAAAATCATAGTTATTTTTTATCTGACAGCCCAAATTTTCTAAAAACTAGCTCAACTTGCTCTTTTTTTTATGGTGGGAACAGGTATATACAAACATGAACACAGAACAATGTGTTTCTTTCGTGTTTCAAGGCATATACAAGGTGTTTGTTTTTAAGCTTAACATATGGGTTAAAAAAAAAGAAAGCTCGAGGTACACCTAAGCTTTTCTTATGAGCTGTGAATGCGAAAGCATGCAAGCCGCTCGTCCGCTCCCTTTGTCGTCTGCTGCGTACTAGCGCGCATGCGATTCGTAATCTCGGAGGCCATGGCACAGTGGCCAATGGGAGCCCCATCGACGCGCGCCAGCCTATGGAACCGAAGGCGAATCGCTCCTATTGGGATCGCGGCGGAAACTAGGAGCCATTTTCGCGCTCCAGACTTATGACGTCAGCTTGCTCTATGAGACAGTTAATGCTTTCATATTAAAAAAACCGTGATAGCTACACTAATTAGGCTTGGGTATGTGAGTTATACGGCCCGGGGGACATAGTACGAGGAGCGTTCATAAAGTTCGTATTATTGTCACGAAGGAATAGATATTCAGCGATCAAACTCGATTAGGAGTTTAGACTTTTTCTACTTGTTCGCCACCAATAGTTACCCACTCTTTCCAGTGATGCACCACATGCCGGAAGCCATTGTTATAGAACTCCTGGTTTTGAGTGTTCAGGAATCGCTCCACTTCAGCAATCACTTGGTTGCCGTCCTTGAAATGCTTTCCTCTTATTTGGCTGCGCCATTTAACCAACGTGTCATAAACTGGGGCGTTGTCCCCGAACAACGCTCCCAGTTTGAAAGAATATCCTTGGCATTACTTCCCTTCAAATAATAATAAAAAAAAATAAACGGATCACTGCATGTGCTTGGTACCGACGAGCGGTGCCATTTTTGTTTCGACATCCTAGCGGCGTTCCGAGCTACTATAGCTTGCGATGTTTATACTGTGCAGAAACTAGAGGGACGCGCGCTCAAGTTGTTTCTTGTTCCGTTTATTTTTTTTTTTCAAAACTTTTGTCCCGATAGTACGAACTTTATGAACGCCCACGAAAAGGTGCTAATCGTAGCGAACAGTCGGCTAATTATCAAAATATGCTATTTAACCCTTTACTGCACAACTTTTTATTTTTTCACAATTTTATTCCAGCAGAAGTAGAATACCACAGTTATCACAATACTATCACTAAAATAAATTTCAAAGTTTCGAAAAAATTTATATCGAAAAAAGATAGGTATGTTGCATATTTGCAACAAGATGGAAATAACGAAATATTTATAGCCGAATGCTAAAAATTTGTGAACCAGAGCCAAACTTGTATTTACAGACATCAGTGAGAGATGTGGCCTCATTTGCTTGTGTGATACAAAAGAAAGCAGTTATTCTTGCTTGTTGAGCACAGGTGAGTGCCACACTTAGAGCAGTAGCTCATACAAATGCCCTTGCATCCAGGAAACTTGCAACGCTGTCGCTTCTGACTCCAAAGCACCCAGTGGCCAACCTGAGCATAGAAGTATGAACAGTGAGGTTTGTAACACAGATTAATTCGCCAGTGATAATACCTGATCAATCCTGACATCTTGAGGTGGACACGGTGCTGAAGGACCTCTTGTCTTCTTCAGCTGGATGCCTTGCTCCACGGACTCATTGCTGGGCCTTCCCCTTTTCTTCAGTTGATTTTTTCCTGCTTTGCAGAGTGACGTGGCGAGGTCCACCTTGAACTCTGCTAATGGCATGAGCTTTCGTGTTGGTTGATCGGAAGTAGTCTCGGCATTCCTCCTGTACAGCAGCCAGGCATTTACAGCCGTCAAGTCGAGAATATGAAGAAAAATACGAAAGTACCATTTCTTCGATCGGAGATGGGCGCGGTAGAGGGAGATCAGAGAGTCTAAGAGATCCACTCCTCCCATGTGCTTGTTATAAGCGCCTATCACCGACGGACACGGTATGTCGCGCCTCTCCTTTTCTTTTTGGCTCCACCTTGGCGCAGTTAGGACAGGCTCTGCCCCAACAAAAATGGACAGCAAGGTGACGGCTCTGTTGTCTTGCCACCTTGTACACGACAGCTGAATGCCATCCAGGGTCGCTACCTTCTCTTCAAAGCTTCCCCTTCCTTTCTGTTTCATTTCCTTGTCAGATGGCATGCTGACACCCGTTACTCGGTTGATCCGGACTGTACCAATGCAGTGCACGGTTTCTTTTTCCAGGTACACCTGAAGGGTTGGACAGTTGAAGTAGTTATCGAAATACACTTTGTGGTGGACTCCTCTTGGGATTAACCTGCACAATCGAACAACAATGTTCCCGCTTGCTCCACAGTCAGGCTCTCCTGCACGTCTTGGGGCAGAGTTTTCTTGTCCCGTGTACAGTTCTAGCTTGTACGAGAAGCCACTTACTCCTGAGAGAACAAATACTTTGTACCCCCATTTTTTTGGTTTCTGGGGACAGTACTGTTTCAGTGCACTTGCGCCTTTGAAAGGTATAATCTGTTCATCCACAGACAAGTGCTCTTCAAGCGGTATCAGCGACAACTGTTCATTTACAGCATCGACGAGCGGTCGTATCTTTGCAAGCCGGTCTCTATCAGGATCATCTCTTGGGCCGAGAGAGCTGTTGCCCACAAAGTGAAGGTTGTGCTTCAACTGTTCGAAGCGTGTCACCGTGAGGTGGTCAGCTACTTGGCTTACTCTGGTAGCTTCACTCCAGTACCACCTAGTGTTCTTCAGCTGAATTATAGACATCCACATGCAGGTGCCTAGAAAAACTTCAATCTCCTCGGCACTGGTGCAGAGGGGCTTACTGGCATCCTTCTGGACTGAGTACAAATTGCTCTCATTTGCAATAAGCGAAATAAGAGCGCCTGGAAAGATGAACTTGAAGTATTGGAAAGGTGTTTCCAACTCTGAAACTTCCTGCGGAAGCTCATTTTGTCCAGTGAACTTCACTGTTTCAGGATCCCGCATCAGGCTTGCATTCTTCCAGATAATTCTTCTCTTAGATTGAGTTGATGACTGATCAGCTGGTTGGCTTGCGGGAGCTTCCTCTTCGTCAGAGCTTGTACTCGCCTCGCTTGAACTGGCACTACATTTTGCAGGGGGTTGGACATCTGGGGTACAAAAAATAACAGCGTCTCGTACAACTCATACAATGAGCAGTAAAATAAATAATTTGGAGAGAAATTCTACATTGTATAGGGGACTATCTTCCCTGGCGGTTCTAAGTGTGCTCTTTGAAAGCGTGAAAACAACCCTACAACTTTGCAATTGTGTGTAGTTACACCTGACGAAGGATGGTCTCTTCCGAAAATCTCTGTCAATAAAGCCTACACTGCTTCTAATTTTATTCTCTACGTGAAAAAAAGTTGGATTTCCAGAAAAAAACATTAACTTACAATCAGAGTCATCGTCACTGCCGGAGAGCTCGCTGTCCTCACTGTCGGAAGGAATTCCACGGCTGTAAAACCGTTTGGGGTCCATTGTGTCTGCTCTACGAAGAAAAAACACCGTCGTGCACGTTGTTGCATCTGTGCAACATAGCTATTTTTTGCTTCCAAAGACAAACTTCGTCGATAATCTTAAGGTTTTTAGTATTTACATAATCAGCAGGACATTAAGTTGAGTCGCAAATTTGTTGTTTTGCATTACACTGTATAGAACGTGATATGCAGTAGTCAAGGCTTACCTGTGTCACTTGTTGAGCGTCCACGTGGTGGCTGTCACGCTTTAAATGAGACCGCAGTGGTCATCAGCGTTAACTTATTTAAACTGTTTCTTTTATATATATATATATATATATATATATAACGGGTGAGCAGGAGGGGTCAAGGAGAGGCTTAGAGCATAGAGTTAATATAATAATCTTGAGGAAGGTCCCATGTATTGGGGCCGCTTGGGAACGTCGAGGCATACGCGCGGGCATCGGCCGTCCCAGTTGGCGGTCCCTGGCCGTAGCGCTGGCGACGCCTTGATATAAATGCGCAAAGGAACAGCAAAACATCACCCGTAGCGTCTGTACCTTCTTCTTTTCTAGCTTATTTTGCAGGAAAACACCGGAAATTGCGCACTGTATAAAAATAAATGAAGTCGACACGTGCTCGAGCAATTCGTCGCTGCAAAACGAACACTCTTAACTTTTCGTCTGCTTTCTTTCTCTGTTCTTCTGTCGCGTCGCTCTCTTTCTGGGTCTTTCTCTCGGTACCCCCCATATCAGCGCCCAGGATTTGCCGCGTTCTGCTCCCGCCTTTGCCTCCCCCCCCTTCCCTGGCTTCGAGCTGTCAGGATAACGTCGGCTGTCTCCGGGCCCAGATTTCATTTCGTCACGTGACAAAGGAACACGCCGGTGCCGCGGCGCCTCTGTCCTCCTGGGGAGACGCGGAATTCAATCAGGCGGGCATCTCCGCATTCTTAACCCAAGTGGGAAGATGCCGACTGGACGAGGTATCGGGAGCCAATCGATGATTAGTCGGACCGTTACGTTATCAGGGTCCCTGCCTCTTGCACCAGGAAAGAAGAATGTAATAATTATTTATTCATTTATTTTCACTTAAGAGCTCTGGCAGGGACATTACATTACGGTGGGAGGGAGAGAGGAGGGAGGAGGGGGGACGGAATACAAGAAAAAATATTTATGTCGTACATTAGCATGCAGATGAGAGCCAACATTCAACATTTCAAAATAAAGCATGCCTTTTTTTTTAACTTGCATGAGCCGAAACAGTCCTTCGTGCTTCTTTGGAGCACCTGCCAGTTTTAGAGATAGCTGTGGTTTAAACTTGGAATGGAACGCCCAAGTTGAGGCTCCATGCTTCCACATATTCGACAAATTGAAAGTTCATAAGGCTTTTTTTTTGTAAAAAAACGCAGACAAAAAAAAAGAAGCTTGATTGGGTGTTTTAGTTTGTTTCTTCCGCAAGGGGTACATCTTTTTCCCTCTACCTTTAGCACGCATCCGGATAGTGCTTCCGTTGAAGCCGATTACTCCTGTAACTCAACGGCGACGGATTCTCCACACATAGGTGAATAGCGCGAAGCATTTTTGTTTTCCTTTTATTGAAAGGACGTGTGTTGATGCGGTGGAATACTTTACGCCGTGAAGAGAAGAAAACACCGAAACGCTGAAGACACTTAAAACTGCTTACGTGTAGAAATGCGAAAGCATTATAGTCCCGCGGGTGAAATGTTTTCGAGTAATATTTCTACACGTGTTAAATTTGTTCCTGCCGGTATTGTATTCGGTGTGTGTGTTTGCGTGTTCGCTGGCCTGCTTCCTCGACTGCGGCGTATTTGCATGGAGGGTCACGTTTACCTGCGGAAGCCGCCGTAGATATAGACGCTGCTGTCGGTGTCGAGGCCGCAGATGTAGACACGGTCGCCTCACACTCAATCCATCGCACGAAGCACACCGCGAGCACGGATGAAGTCCGAACTGCTGCTGACGCGCCGGAGGCAGCGCGCCGCGTCTTCCTTTTGCACACGGCGCTCCGCCGGTGACATGACGCTCCCGCAGGCGCGGTGCCCCCGCCGGCTTCGTGGCCTCCGTGACGAAGCATCTGCGTTGCTGTGCTTTTCTTTGTGTTTTATTTCTGAGGCGCGTCCGCTTTGACCTTGAACGGCCCGCGCTTGATGCCGTATTTTAATGACCAGCTTTCAGGCACAACGCCGACGTCGCCGTTTCCTGTAATGTAACATATAAAGCTTTTGCCTTAAAAAAAAATAATAAAGACACAAATGGCGCGCACTCTGGGAAATTTGAAGCGTAAAGCACTTGGGAGAGCCAGTCGCTGCAATCCACTGAGGAAGCTCGAAGACTGACGTGGCTAAAAATACGTTTAGATATGGGATTGAGCAATGGCGGACAGACGTTGTGGCGCGGACTTTCGAAAAAAGGTCGGGAAACAAAAAAACCTTTGCGGGCAAGTAAAGCGCTCCAGTTTTCCGAGAGTGTGCGAAGAGTACACAGACAGTACAGATCTCGCGATCTATGTCTTCATTGGGCGCATGGGCGTTATGCACACGCGAAAAATTACAGCCGCCATTGCTGACCTTCTCTTCTCTTATACAGACACCAAGCCAGCGAAGCGAGCGTTGAGAGAAGGCGTTGACGAATTTCCACGGAGGCCAATGCTGGGCAGAAGGACGCGGTAAAATCTAAGATGGCGATGACCTGCCCTGCTGTGTTCATGATGGAGTGAAGTGAGCCTAATAGGTGGAAGCAAAAATCGAAAGTCGATTATGGCGGCGCCCATGCACAGCTGCAGCAGAGCCTGCATAGATTCCTAGAAATGAGTTTGGCTTCTTCGTTTCACCATGCTTCTAATAAAAACATACGATGCATTAGTACAAACAAGTCTTTCTAATTCCTTTTTTTTTTTATTTGGAACTTGACTAGTAGTTAAAATAGAGTGAAACGGGTGGTTTCGTATTTTGTTTTATTGCCTCCGGTGAACAGACCATGTCCAAGGCTGCTGTGCTAAGCTACCTCCGAAGTATCTCCGGAATGAACATCATTCTACTCGTTCTTAAGAATGTGGTGGGAAAGCGGAAACGATTTTAATCCTCATGAGAAATATGTTAGTCTGACTTTTAAGTTGATTTTCGTGGCCTTACTTTCTCACAATATACGAGAGAATAAAATTTCTCTGAGACCTCCTTTTAAGAAAAGAAATGTAATTCACTGATCTGTCTTCACTATTTCTGTCTGTTTAACGCTACGTTACTCTTACCATATGCATATATATTTTCATAACCGTAAAGAAACAAACAAATCGGAGGCATTGCCTGCAGCTTAGCGGTGCGGCCTCCTGCACTCGAGTTGTTTTTGAATGAAGCTTCTTGCTGCAGCGTAAAAAGTTTGAGACAGGCAGTCGTTTAGGGACGACTTAAATTACTAAGCTTTCTACTGTCCACAGAAGAGAGCTTAGTAACCCAAGTCTCCCAGGAAAGGATAAAGCAGGAACATGTCAGGCTGTCGCATGTCCCTGCTGAATCTGGGTCACCTTGATGAAGGT